AACCTGGGTTTGCTCTGGGAGCAACAGCAATGGCACCTGTAACCCGACTCGTCTTCCCTGGCTTCCTTGGGAGCCCTTCCACAAATCTGAATTGCTACTAATTCCAGCCTTCGTTCAGCCCCGTGTGTTTTGGCTGCAAGCACAGGGCATGGCAGGCTGCTGAGCATGCCCACAGAAGCACTGCTGTCCATACATCCCAGTGTAGTGTCCTAAAATGCTGCCAGCAATTTCATCTTCTGCACCTGCACTAAGCAGGGCAAGTGTTGAATTTGCATCAGGGAAGCTGTGTCAGGTATCAGCTAGGCCAGGGCAAGCTGCTTGCAGACACGCCATGGGAAACAGCAGCATAACCTGAAGAGGCATCCCCCACATCAAGAGCAACTTTCCAGAGACTTGGGGTAACACTTTTACTGATTTGGGGGATTTTGATTATCATGGGCAGTTATAATTGGGCTTATGCTTGAATATTGAATTTTATCAGAGTAATTAGTCCTAGATGTCTGCTGAGGGTTATTGAGTTAAAGGGCTATTAGTAAAGATTAATGAAAAATTAAAATTTAGACATTTATTTAAATCCGAATGATCATTTTTAATTCAGGTCACATTTTACTTCCCTGTGCTGCTGTGCTGTCAGTCTGAGGGTCTGTGTGGTACCTGCCATGTCTGCTCGGAACGAGTTCCTGTGTGCACGGAGCAGAAGGAAGTGCAGGGCAAGGTGTGCAGAGAGGACAAGGTGCCCTTCCCAAAACGTAGCTAAAAGTTGGGCATTTGTCTAAGCTGTTCCCAAAAGGTTTTCCCTACTAGTACTAAGGAGTGCTAGAGGCCAATCCTGAGCCATGGGTCACTGTCATCAATGCTGCTTTATGTATGGTTCTTGGCATGGCTTGGCCTGGACCTTCCCAGACAGGTCCCGGGGATGGCTCAGGACTATCACAGGCAAGGATTGTCCTATTTGGAGACAAAGCGGGTTTAGTAGGGCCCCCCTGCTTGTACCATACTAGTTGACCTCAAGGCAGAGGACGGACCAAAGCAAGGCTCACGTACTGATATAGGTGTACTCTGAAGTGCTCTCTTTGGTCAGCAGGATGACAGTGCAGTCTCCAAGGGGCCATTCATCCACCCGGCCTTATGCAACAAACTGGGATCAGGTGAACAATTATCTGACAGTGCTGCCCACTTTTTTTTTTTTTACCTGTGGAGGGTGCCTGGACTCTTTTATATTGAATGCACAGCTTTAAGAAGGCTAAATTTTGGGGGGACAGGTACTGCCCAAGAAGATGGACTGTTCAAGCAGAGAGCTAAGCCAGGTTCTTTCCTCAAACTGTGCAAAGGTAGATAGGGCTGGGTAGGACCTTGAGGCCAGGCAGTTGGATTTCCCAGTGTAGGAGAGCTGAGAGGGATGTCAAAGGGCTGCCCTGCTCACCTTGGGTTTTCAGCAGCCACGTGGCTACCTGTGATGGTGTGGCACTGCAGCTGAGCTGGGCACTCGGTGCTGAGGTTGTTCTTCCTGCCATGGGTGGCTGAGCCCTGCATACAGGTGGGCTGTGAGAGGGACGTGGGAGTGAGCCAGCTAGGAGCAGCACAGGTAGATTGTGAGGAGAGCTGTGCCTCTGAGCCCCATGTGGCACCGTGGTTGCATCTTCAGTGCAACACGGAGCTGCCTGCCATCTCTGGCCAATTCCTGGATAGCATGGGGGTGCCTTGGTGATCCCTTTGTGTGGCTGTGTACTCCAGAATGCAGCCTAGTAGCTGAGCCCTGAAGACAGTATCATGTCTCAGGCCCCAAAGTCCTCAGAAAAATCAACTTCACCAGCTGTGTGTACAGCTCTTCTCTTGATGTGTGCAGAGCATGACTTGCCTTTTTCACAAAAGATGACCTTGTAGGTAGGTGGAAGCTTGCTCTTACCTCTTCATGTGCTTTCTGCTGTGAGGCCACCCATTCTCTGTTTAGGTGGTTCACTTGCCTGTGGTGCAGGACTTGGCCTGGGGTGAGTTTCAGTTTGGGTTCTGAACTATTTTTCCTGTGTATCAGGATTATTCTCTGTTCTGGACTCACCATTGCTTTCAGCTTGGTGGCATCTCTACGTTGTCTCAATCTCCTTGCCACTCCATTACCCGTGCTAATGAGACTGCTCAACAGACCCAGTGGAGGGCTTGTGCTTGGAAAACATGAGAGAGGAAAGATCACTGTTTGTCATGTTTCTTATATTCTTCCCCCAACAACCGCTGCTAGCAATGTTTAGAGATAGATTTTGGGCTACACAGACCTTTTTCTGACCTCCCATCAGGAGTTCTTGCCATCACTTTTTTATAATTGAAAAGGCTTCTCGTTTTCACACTGAGTCAGAGGACAGTTTTAGAGAGTCCTGGGCTTCCTGGCTCATTGTGGTTTCATCTAGATGTGTCTTTCTCTACTCCGGTTATGGGAATCCACATGGGAGACAGTGTCAAAAGCCTTAATAAGTCAAGATACCTTATGTCTACTGCTGCTTCAGCTATTCAGTGTGACTCTTACCTGCTTTATCATGGCTTAAAGTAGTTACCAGCACAGCTATGAATTTGAATGTGCTAGTTCTTTCTTCATTTTCACAAGCTTATGTTCTTCATACTTCAGAGTCCGCCTTCAGCTTGGTTTTAGAGATAAGAACCTCCCTAACCAGGGATCAGTCACCTTTATCAGAGTTTAGGCTAGTTAACAGGATTATATGTTGCTGTTGATGATGAATAGTGTTGTTCACTGAGGCTGGCACAGAACTGCCTACTTAAAAAAACAAATATGCAAATTAGAGTGTTAAATAATCTGTTGACAGCTCTGTTTCGGGTTGTGACACGAGATCAGAACATTCCCTCTGTGAAATTACATGTTGCTGCTTCCTTGCAGGGCCTCCACCTCCAGGCAAGTGTGGAGTCAAAGACCTTCTGAAACATCAGACGCTGAACAACATGGAAGCAAGCACGGAGCTACCTGTGTCCAGCCCTAGACTGTCAATTCATAGAATCATAGAATGGTTTGGGTTGGAAGGGACATAAAAATCACCTAGTTCCAACCCCCCTGCCATAGGCAGGGATACCTTCCACTAAAGCAGGTTGCTCAAAGCCCCATCCGACCCAACCTTTATCACTTCCAGGGATTAGGGCATCCACAATTTCTCTGGGCAAGCTGTTCCACTGTCTCACCACCCTCATCGCAAAGAATTTCTTCCTTATATCTAACTTAAATCTACCCTCTTTCAGTTTTAAGCCATTAGCCCTTGTCCTATCACTACAGGCCCTTGTAAAAGTGCCTCTCCAGGCTTTCTTGTAGGCCTCCTTCAGGCACTGGAAGGCTGCTATAAGGTCTCCCTGCAGCCTTCTCTTCTCCAGGCTGAACAATCTCAACTCTCTCAGCCTGTCCTCGTAGGAGATGTGCTCCAGCCCTCGGATCATCTTTGTGGCCCTCCTCTGGACTCTCTCCAACAGGTCCGTATCCTCCTTCTTTGGGGGCCCCACAGCTGAGCACAGGGCTCCAGGTGGGGTGTCAAGACAGCGGAGTAGAGGGGCAGAATCCCCTCCCTCGACCTGCTGGTTACACTTCTCTTCATGCAGCCCAGGATATGGTTGGATTTCTGGGCTGCAAAAGCACATGTTGCTGGGTCCTGTTGAGCTATTCATCAGCCAACACCCCCAAGTCACTCTCTGCAGGTCGGCTCTCAATCCATTCTCTGCCCAGCCTGTATTTGTGCTTGGGATTGCCCCAACCCAGGTACAGGACCTTGCACTTGCCCTTGTTGATCTTAATGAGGTTCTCACAGGCCCACTCCTCAAGCCTGTCAAGGTCCCTCTGGATGGCATCCCTTCCCTCCAGTGTGTTAACTGCAACACAGCTTGGTGTAATTGGCAAAATTGCTGAGGGTGCACTCAATCCTACTATCCATGGTGCCAACAAAGATATTAAACAGTGCCGGTCCCAATACCAACCCCTGAGGAACGCCACTTGTCACTGGTCTCCACTTGGACATAGAACTCTTTGAGTGCGATCATCCAGCCAACTCCTTATTGACCGAGGGGTCCATCTGTCAAATCCACGTCTTTCCAATTTAGAGACAAGGATGTCATGTGGGACAGTTTCAAATGCTTTGCATAAATCCAGGTAGATTATGTCACTTGCTCTTCCCTTCTCCACTGATGCTGTAACTGTCGTGGAAGGTCACCAAATTTGTCAGGCACGATTTGCCCTTAGTGAAACCATGTTGGGTGTCACCAATCACGTCCTTATTTTCCATGTGCCTTAGCATAGTTTCCAGGAGGATCTGCTCTGTGATCTTGCTGGGCACAGAGGTGAGACTGACTGGCCTGTAGTTCCCTGGGTCTTCCTTTTTTCCCTTTTTAAAAATGGGGTTTATGTTTTCCCTTTCCAGTCAGTGGGAACTTCACTGGACTGCCACAACTTCTCAAATAGGATGAAAAATGGCTTAGCAACTTCATCCACCAGTTCTCTCAGGACCTACGGGTGCATCTCATCAGGTCTGATGGACTTGTGCACCTTCAGGTTCCGTAGATGGTCTTGAACCTGATCTTCTCCTACAGTGGGCGGTTCTTCATTCTCCCAGTCCCTGCCTTTGCCTTCTCTGACTTGGGTGGTGTGGCTTGAGCACTTGCCGGTGAAGACTGAGGCAAAAATGTCATTGAGTACCTCAGCCTTCTCCGTACCCTGGCTAACCAGGTCTCCTGTTTCATTCTGGAGAGGGCCCACATTTTCCCTAGCCTTCATCACCAATGTACCTATAGAAGCTTTTCTTCTTGCTGTTGACGTCCCTGGCCAGACTTAATTCTATCAGGGCTTTAGCTTTCCTAACCTGTCCCTGGCTGCTTCTCTGTATTCTTCCCAGGCTACCTGTCCTTGCCTCCACTCTCTGTAGGCTTCCTTTTTGTGTTTGCATTTGTCTGGGAGCTCCTTGTTCATCCATGCAGACCTCCTGGCATTTTTGCCTGACTTCCTCTTTGTTGGGATGCATCGCTCCTGAGTTTGGAGGAGGTGATCCTTGAACATTAACCAGCTTTCTCGGGTTCTTCCCTCCAGGGTTTTATCCCATGGTACTCTACCAAGCAGATCCCTGAAGAGGCCAAAGTTGTCTAGCCATGCACAGTCCTCTTGGGATAAAACACCAAAGACAGGAGCAGATCACCTGTGTCACCTCGTGTGTCAGCTTCAGAGGATTTACCAGCAGACCTGGATGCTGGGTTTACTTTGGCTTCATCTTGTAGCTCTGCCCACCTCCAGGAGTGTGCTGAAGCCCGACATGTGAATGAGATGAACCCATTCTTTACCCTTACTGTTAAGCCATGCTGTTGTGCAATGTGGGATCCAAGGTTTTTACATCTGGTTGAAGTCATAAAGCAAAGCATAGCTGCTGCTTTGCCTGGGCTGCCAGAGGGGGCAGAGACCTTTCAATGAAGAGCCACTATCTGTGGTTTCCATCTCTGCCATAATACTTGTTTCACCCAGCTCCTGATGCAAATCTAGCAGGACAGATCTTTTTCTTCTGTGATTATAAGCTGGGCTTGACTTTCCTACCCAAGACCATTACGTTTGTCCTGGATCAGACCACAAGTGCATCTAGCCCAGTATTTTTGCAGTGGCCAAGAACAGGGCCCCAGGAAGGAGAGTAGAAACAGGGAAAACCTGCGGTAAGTAGTTCCTGTGTGCTCTCCCAGCCTCCTGTTCCTTGTGCACAGGCACTTACAGAACTTGATGTGGCTTCTGTGGATTTAGTAAACCCCAAAAGACACCTATGGAGTTACTTAATCTGTTTGCCCCAAACCCAGAAACTTTTAGTGTCCACAGTGTCCTGTGGTAGAGTCCAGTAGCTTATCTGCATGTCATGAGAAGCAGCATCTCTCCTTGTTTGTTGTGACTGCAGAGAAAGCGAACATTTGATCATATCCCTCTTCTCCAAACCATTAATAATTTCATAACTCTGTCATATTCCTCCTGAGTAATTTCATTTTCCAGGTTAAATGGTTGTTTGTCAGTGATTTCCTCTGCAGAAATCATACTTTTGACCATCCATGTTGAATATTGTTTCTAGCTGGCAGCATAGGCTGAGATGACACCTGAATTGCAAACAGCTTTGTTAATGCTGGCACACCATGGGTTGATACAGTGGCAAATTAATGTTTTCTTTTTTTTGTGCTGTACTTCTTTCCTAGTAACTCATAGTATTAGCCTTGATTTTTGACCACTGTGGAACAATGGAACATTCAGGAACAGGTGTTTTCCTGAATGGTTGCAGTAAGCTGAAAGCTTATTATTTTACATGTGAAGTTAGAATGGTTTTTACCATGTCTGTAACTTAATGCTGATCTACACTGAATGCCATCTGTCATTGCTCTGATGAGACTTGGGGACGTCCTTCCATAGATCTTGAGAGTTAGCCTTTGCTTCTATGGCCCTGAGCTCAGAGCGTCTTCAGCTGCTTTTAGTAACGTGGTGATGGAATGCATTGATGTAGGGTGGCAGCGAGGGCAGGTCCTGCATCGCTGGTGTCACGTGGGGACATGCTTCTCCAGGAAGGTGTGAGTTCAAAGTTGAAGTGCAGATCCAGAAAGCTTTCTGGAGGT